GTAGCTTAACTCTATATGTAGTATGATATTCATAGTGTACATAATAATTAATAAAAATTATGTGTCAAACACTGCTAAATAAATTTCAGCATTACTAGATTAATCTTGACAATGACTCTATGAGATTGATGTTATTATCTTCATATTATAGACAGAAACTCCACAGATTCAATGGACCAAGAAACTTGTCCCAATTGTAGGATGTGGTCATCAATATGAAAACACAGATTTTCCTTGCTATTAGTCTGTGCTCTATCTACTAACATGAACATACATACAGAGGAACAAGAATGAAGGAATAAAACACACTTATGGGGTAAAAGTGATTATATGGTAGTATTAGTCCATAATTATATGGATTATTATGATATATATATATATATATATATGATAATATTATATGATAGTTATTACACTGTTACTTATTCCTTTTCTTTATTTTCACACTTTCTATAATGACGTATCTGTTTTAGACTACAAACAACCCCAAACACAGTAGTACACCAACCCCCATTTTATTATTTTCATAGTGTCTCAGTTCAAAAATTCACACAGGATGCAGAGGTATGGCTTGATTCTCCTCCATAATGTTTAGAACCTCAGTTGAGAAGATGTGAATAACTGAGTATTATTCCATTGGTGAGGGGATTAGAATCCTCTGGAGGTTTCACATGCAGTTGCCTAGGCTGGAGTGATTTGAAGGCTGGACTTAGCCAGGTTAGCTGATTGGAAAGTCCTTGTATAATAGGAACTGTCTCCATGGAGCCTGGGCTTCCTTACATCAGGGTTTTCTCAGATCAGTCAGACTTCTTTTTTTATCATTTATTGATTTTATTATTTTTTAAATACATGACAGCAGTGGAATGCATTACAATTCTTATACACATATAGAGCACAATTTTTTGTATCTCTGTATATAAAGTATGTTCACGTCAATTTATGCCTTTATACATCTACTTTGTTTATTTTTGCATCACAATTCTTAACACACATATATACCACAATTTTTCATATCTCTTTTATATATAAAGTGTGTTGACACCCAATTCAAGTCTTCATACATGTACTTTGTATAATGATGTCCATCACATTCCACCATCCTTGAATGTGGTGGCTCAGGACTCCAAGAGCACAATGCTCAGCAAATGAAATGGAAGCCATGTGGCCTTCTATAACCTAACCTTGGAAAAAAAGCAACTTACTCTGCTGTACTGTATTGGTGTCAACCCAGCCTTATTCAATGTGAAGGGGCATAAAACTCACATTTTAATGGGAAGAGTATAAATGGTATTTGCCATATTTTGAAACTAACAGAAAATATATTGTATCCACATCAGAAGAAAACAAATTTTTAGGCATAAATAAATCTATTTCATTTTTTTGTTCTGAAAAAGAATTTATAAAATTCTTGGTTTTTTTAACTTTGTTTTTTACTTATACAATATGGCAGTAGAGGATCTGAGCTCTCTGATACAGTGTCTACTTATTATGGCTTTATTCTCAGTAACAATCACAGAGCCAACAACAGGCAGGATATTAGTCATTCATTTAGAGTGCAAAGTGGTAGTTGCCACCACTACAAAACATTGCATAAATTTGGGGGTCTATTCTATCCCAAATCCTATTTCTTCAAGGATATAGTGAGACTACTTTTTCATATACTCCTTACTCTTCCATAAATAAATTTTCTTTTGTTTCAAAATAATAACTATTGTATACATAAATATGTTAGAGAAGGTTAATATATTCCACACTTTAAAATGCTTTCATGTGTCTTATTGAAGAAAAATAAGTTTAGCTAGAGCGTGCATAAAGGAAAACCTGCCAGTTTCCCAGCAAACTATTGCCAGTTCAAGTTTTAAGAGCCTATCCTTTTACAAAAACTGACATTAGACACTTGTTGTATATCATAACATGCAGGAACTAAATGAGATCAGCCTCATAATATTAGAAACTTGCCTAATATTTATATTTTATATGAAAGCTTTTCCTAGTAGATATGTAGTATATTGTTGACTTTAAATTTTTCCATTAGGTCAAGGTATAGCTATAGAGTAGAAGAGAAATGTTTCAGGGCTTGTCCTTTATCTGTAGTAAAGTACCTCATCTCAAGTTTTTCCTTGAGACCAGAATCAAGATCTGCTGAAATACTGTGGAAATTCAGAAGTGAAGCATGGACTTTAGAGTTCAGAAGTTTTAGGTTTGTATCTATCTCCAACACTTACAAACTATTTAAGGTTCAACAGTACTTTAAATTTTTTGAACCTGAATGTCATCAGCTATAGAATAGGGATAATAATAATATTTCTTTTGTATAGGCAAGATATGAAGCTTATATAAGAGGAGGTAGATAAACCATATTACTTGGTATTTGGCCCATGTACATAATTTATAAGTAGTAATGATTATTTTGTTACTGTTCTGTTTAATATGATGTGGTAAGATAAAAATTCTTTATCAGTAGTGTTCAGTGATATAGAACCTTATACCAGACAGAAGTTGAGCTTGAGAAATCCAACCAAAGTATGAAAGGATGATTATTACTTTTAATTAAAACCATTTACCTATTCTGAAAAAAATTATAATATACTTTTCCTTGAATTCCATACACGTTGACTAAGTAAGAAGAAAACAAAGGCACTTGAGAAAATGATGAATTTGCATTTACTAGAATTTGATACATATTTCATATGTTGCATGATTTACATATAACTTATTTTAATTTAGCCTATACAGTTCTTGTCATAAATAAGTACTCATTAATAAATATGTTAAATAAAAAGAATATTCATCTTTTAACTGATTTTTGCATTCTTTATGTATTAAATATATAAACATTTTTTTTTCTTTTTGGGAAAAGGTCTCACTGTGTTGCATAGGCACTGAAATTCATGATCCTCCTGCCTCAGCCTCCCAAGAAGCTGAAATAAAGGCACATTCCAATGTTACCAGATCACTTGTCACTTTTATATGTTATCACTATTTCTACAGTCTGTCACTGTTTCTACATTCTGTCACTTAATGTTTCTCAAAAATATTATATATTCCCTGTATTTTTTAAAATGACTTTATACTTAAAAAAACTTTTTTTTACCTTAAATTCCTGCCCATATAGATGAAAAAATGTTTAAAGGCTACATCTTTCCCATTTATCTTGGTGATCATGTCTTTAGCCACCACCATTCAAAATTAAAAGTTATTAGTGAAGTTGAAGTTGACTCCTGTGGATTTTTTTTCTCAACAGTAGGAATTTTCCATCTCTATTCACCATTAAATTAGCAGACATTACTTTATTGCAGTACTGATACAGAGCTTTTCTTGGTTTAGTCCTTCAAGTGTTTCAATGGTTAATTAATGAAGTAGAGGGAATACAGTTATGGAAAGGAGGTAAAGGAAAACAGAAGCAGAAGCTAGGTGATGGACTAAAATCATCACCTCAATTGCAAATTTGAGGGTTATGATAAGCTCCAGACTTCTATGTCCAATAGTAATGAGTTCTATTGAGTATTGTGCCAGGTACCTTTTAAGTGCTTTATATGTATTATTAAAACAGTTGTATACAGTTATCTTGCCAAGGAAATTAGTGAAGAGGGGCTGTAGAATTTGCCCTAGTTCACACAGTCATTAGCAGAGCTGGGAGTCTAAACAGGCAGGCTAAATCTATGATCAATAAGCATATCCTACACTATATGAATCTCAGATTTAACATGTGAAAACATTTTAGTTCTTCCTGATTCTTCATCTCTATATCATTTCATTAACCTGCTACTTACTGTACTTGGAGAAAATCCAACCCCAACCTCCATCATGGCTTTATAAGGCCTTACAAACTCAGACATCTTTGAATTTATCTTCAATATTACTTTTCTCTTGTTGTTTTTAACCATCTACTAAACACTTGTCTTGTTTCTAGTCTTCAATCACACCAAATCTATTTCCATCATAGGACTTTTGCACTAACTGTTAATGCTTATCCTAATGCTTACCTTAGTGGTACAGTGCATATGTGGGGCTTTGGGTTCCATCCATAGAAAATTATTATAGGCTACTTTTAGGCTGAGCAACAGTAGGTTGAAGATGAAATATTTATCTAACTTTTTGGTAGAGAAGATAGGTGGAGGAAAAGAGTTGGAAAATATTAAATTATTTTTTTCTATTTGAAGCTCTTACTGAAGTATTAAAAATATTGGGTTTTTTAATTAGAGAATTTTCTAGTTACAGTGTGAAATAATATGTGTGCAATTTACAAATGCAATGGCATATTCCATGAAGATTTTATTTTATTGCCACTTGGTGTGTTGATGAACCAAGTATTGCGGAAGTTGTGACTTGAATTCTTACTTTGATGGAGAGGGTTAAACATGGAGATCTTTGCATTCCCTTCCAATTCTGGACTTTTGTGAATACATGACCTACCACATCATCCTTTTGAGTGTTCTGACTTGTTAAAAAGAGTCAAGGAAAAAAAGACACTACTGATTAATTATGTATAGGTCCCATGATACTGTGTATTACAGAAGAAGCAATTACTGAACTACTTTGAAACAGTCCAGTGAGCTGCAGTTTGTTCTTCTTAGAAGGAATATTTCATCTTCATCTCTAAAAGAAAAACAAAAATAAACTTTCACACAATTCCTATAAATTCTTAACATCTTTTGTAATTAATTTTAGTTGCTGGAGAAAGCATATGTATTAGAGTGATCTACATGTAAGATTGAGTTCAGTTGCAAGAACCTTACCATAGATAAGTGTCCATTTTTCTTTCATGGTCAAGTGGTAGAGAATTGATTGGACCTAAACAGCTCTGACATTTGCTCCTACATTTCAACCATGTGAGAGCCACTTTCTGCTATCTAATATATTCTTATGCCAGAAATCACACTTAGGTTTTCTCTGAGCACCTAAACTGGCTGACAGTCAGGAAATCAATACATCCTGTTGCACAGATTTCGTGTCTGCTATTAGTAGAAAAGTAACACTAAAGATGTGTTTTCTTGCAGGACAGTGCAGAATTGATCACATCCCTAATTCACAGTGGAGCTGATATACAGCAAGCTGAATACGGTGGCCTTACTGCTCTCCACATTGCTGTGATAGCTGGTCACCTAGAGGTAAGTCATGCCTTTGTTACCTGTGAAAACAAAGATTAGCTACCTCTTCAAATTATTCTCAGTTTTCAACACTGGCTTTTGAGATGATAGAAGTTGGTTTGTTTTTTAGCTACTAAGCACATTAATTTCTTTTGACAGTAAAATTTAGCCATTCGAATGTATTTTTTATAGTTCAGTACATTTTGTAATGATGTAATCAAATATCTACTAATATAAAAATGGCTCTGTATGAGAGACTTTCGAGCAGTGATTAAGATCATAAGTTTTGAAATCAAGTAGTTCAGCTTCCAAAAGTCACCATATTAACTTTGGGGGAATTATGGAATCTCAAAACACATGTATGTTAGAATAAAGTTGTGTTTTAGAAAAAAGCAATAGTGGATGGGTGATGTAGCTCAGGGGTAGAGCACTTGCCTAACAGGTGTGAGACCTTGGGTTCATTCCTCAAAATAGTAATAGGCCTATTGTAATGATTAAATAGTCCATATAGAGCACTCCGCAAATTATTTTGTACAGAGTAAGGACTGAATGAAAGATCATTTAATCTTTCATCCTCTTATGCACTACTTGAATAAACGTTTAGTAAACATGAGTTATGTACCAGATACTGTTCTAGGCGCTATAATAGTGAGATAGTCAAAAATCTCCATTTTTGTGAACTTTAATTATAAACAAGACAGACAAAAAAGAAAATATTATACAATGTCAATTAATGAGTACTGCTAAATAATAAAATGAAAACACCCTGTGGGAGAAATAGACACCATTTTAAGTAAGCTATGTAATGAAGGCCTCTGAAAGAAGGTGATACTGGAGCAGAGATTTGAGTGAAATGAGAGCAGCAGCCACATAAAAGAAGAAAAGCATAATTTGGGCTTAAGTAATAGCACATGCATAGCCTGGAGGCATAAAAAACCTGGATGTGTAGAGGGACATGAGGTAGAATGATGGAGATAAAGTCAGGTGGATGTTTGCAAGTCAGACCACGAAATGTTTTAAAGGCCATGGGAAGCTTTGGATTTTGTCTTAAATTTAATTTTCAAAGTATTAACTTTATATATGCTACTATGCAATTATTTTATTAACTTTACAAATCCTTATGAAATAGTTTTTTATTGTCATTGCTATAATAGATATAAAATCAAGGCTTTTGTATAATAATCATCACTACAAATTGAAAAAAAAAGAGCCACATCTAAAATCCTAGTCATTTATCTCAAAATCCCATCATATTCATACTCTATCATTTGTGACAACAATGTGAAACTCAACAATGTAATAAATGAACAGTCTAACATCCTCATTATTGAATAGTTATCTTTGCAAATTGTCATATGGCAAATTAAATCATGCCTATTTCACTAAGACACAAAACACATACCAACTATGAACAAAAAGAACTGCATATAAAATCATAAATAAAACCTATGAAATATGTGTGATCCATCTTTCTTGACAGTGTCACTTTAAAGGGCTCTTACATCCAATAAATATTAAAATATCTCATTGAGAACAAGACAGTTTCCTTCATGTTTATATTTCTGCTCCTTACCAGATCACTTTATTTCCCAGAAAATAAGTCTTTATGGTGAGATTCATAGTATCATTGACAATATAATTAAGTTTGTATTACTTATGATGAAAGGGAAATATCCTGTCAGAATTACTTAAACACAACAGTTTTCCCACAAAAAGATAAATTATCTGAGGGCAATGATAAGTAGATAGAGTGATAAACTTTAAGAAAGCCTGATGGAAAAACTGATGAAGTAAACATTAGGCACTAGTAAAACATGGTCAACATTTCAATGCTAGGAAAATAACAGAATATACTGTTGAAAACAAAATCCTTTTTTTTTTTTGTCTAATATTGAGCAGATTACTTTGTGAGCCCTAGAATTTTAATGGGGTTAAAAGCAGGGTGTTGGTCTCCTCATCTTCTATTCAAATAGCTCTGTATTCTTGTTTTGTAAATCATAGTATAAATAACAGTATTTTATCTATTCTACCAGCCTTTGGGCAAACTTGACCAAAATAGTTTCCAACACATCTCTACTCTTATATTTCTTTTAGATCTCCAACATACCTTATCAGCTGATGTACAACATTTAATGACTTTTATAGTCAACCACTTGACACTACATAAAACAGGCTTAGACACATTAACCTTTATTTGCTTTTTACATAATGGATTAATTAAGTTACTGGTCAGATAATGAAGGGAAATGGTATCCCACAAAGCAATCTAAAACAATTATATTCTAAATGCAGAATTTTTTGAATTATTTCTTTCAAAACTATTCGCTGTGATAAATACTTTTGATGTGTTAATTTTTCTAGTCCATACTGAGGAAAAATCATTTGGCTCCAAATAGACTGATTTTCTAGAAGATGACATTCAAGCAGAAACATTGATATATTGTATAGTGTTCCCCCTTTCCCTGCAGTTTCAGTTAACCTTGGTCAACCATGATCTGAAAATATTAAATGGATATTCCAGAAATAAACAATTCATAAGTTTTAAAAAAACTATTATTACATTACATTGTTATATTTGTTCTATTTTATTATTGTTGCTGTTAATCTCTAACAGTGCCTCATTTGTAAATTAAACTTTATTATATGTATGTATAGGGAAAACATAATATATACAGATTTAATTATTACCTGTGGCTTCAAGCATCCCCTGTGGGTTTTGGAACTTATTCTCTTTGGATCAGGGGTACTACTGTGCACAGATGGCAATTCATGGAGAATTCTGAGCTTAAAATAAGTTTTGGTGTATATAGATGAAATTTGAAACCATAACAATAATGGAAAATTATGTATCAGGCACAATGGATGGCCCATAAACTGACCCTAAGAATCCACAGAGATTTGAGAAAGAATTAAATATCTATTAAATGAGACAAAGAAGGTTGGTCAGAGTAGTAATAGGAAAACTAGGTCCTTATAGTATCATAACATTTAGAATTTCAGAAGTTTGAGGATTCTGGGAATCAAATGGTGCAGAATAGCCAAGTACTATGGGATAAAGTATACATATAGCATCTCTTTACTAATCAAAATTTACATGCCTATTCCACTGCTGTTTTTACTACTTTGGTTAGGAGGAATAGTAGCAATGTATCAATGGGGTGGGTGTTTCCTTTCATTAGTAGTCCCTGTCTTTTATGGTCCACCTTTCTGTGTGAAACAATAGATGATGCTGAGTCTGACAGGCCTCTTTGTCTCCACATATCAAATTCAAATCTTCCATTAGTGTCTCAAGTGTGTTTGTCCTCCCATAATTGTGAATTCTATTTTTATTGTAACAATTTTACAATAAAATTTACATCGACTAGGCAGCTGTCTCTTTCAATAATTGAAGAGAACGTGTGTTGAAGATTCCTAGACATGCTGACTACAATTTGAGAACTCAGAGTTAAATTTACTGTGACTAAAAAAAGAGAAAAATATTGGTTATCTCAGATCTTAACATTTTTCTTTGATTTATCCATCTATCAATACATACACATATACTGCTTCATATAAAGCCTAAGATTCATATAGTAATCTATGGATCCAAGGTTAGACATGAGTCAGATGCTGTATTGGACCTTGAAAATGTATATATTATATATAAAATATATACTTTATATTTTTCATATACTTATATATAAAATATATTTTATATACTTTATATATATATATATATATATATATATATAAACTTGTTGAAACTTGGTAGTACTTCATCATTCACATACATTTGTCATTTGGTTCTCCTGTGAGATCAGTAGTATTAGACTAAAGAATTATAAAAGTTAAATGACTACTATAAGGTCATTCAGACAATAAATGAGCTGGATGAGACTCAAACTTGATCTCCTATACTCAAGTCTACGGTTTTGTTAAAAAAAAATAATAAGAAGAAGAAGTATTCCCTAGAGACTCTTGTGTGTTTATTGCTAAAATAAGGCTTATACCCATGAGACAGACAGACAGACACACACACACACACACACACACACACACAGTGCTTCTATCCACAGGCCACACTAACACACACAAATACACAAACTATTCAGAAAAAAAGTATTAAGAAATCCAAAAATACATGAGTATGTTACTACTAATGTTCAGGCATTACTACATAAATGTAATGAAAGCAACATTAATTTATTCAGGCATTAATACACATGTAATTAAAGCAACATTAATTTATTCAAAAATGTCTTTATTTGCCATTTACTAATTGGGGTGCCAAAACCCATGGAGATATGTATACACACATTTCTTTCTTTCTCTTTCTCTGTCTCTCTGTCTCTCTCTCTCTCTGTCTCTCTCTCTCTTTCTCTCTCTTACAGATACACAGACACACACACACACTTTATACTTAATATACATATACATATACAAATATTTATACTTAATCACATACTGTATAAAAAAAGTTGTCATGCTGGTGTTTAATGTAGTAGTTTCTGCAGTTATCAAGAGACAAATGAATTATCTGTAGCTGTAGACAATTGTTTGTGCAGCAAACAGAAATGCATATAGCAACAAGATGACACAATGCATATTGTGTAGAAGTTGTGGAATGTTTTATTTTTCATGGAAAGGTATAGTTTCATATACACCCTGTGCATGTGAGAGTAATATTTTCATAGTTAAATTTATTCCATCATACCTTATCCCATTTTCAGATTGTAAACATTTATCCAAGCACTGCTTCAGAAATGCTTCCCAGTTATTTTGGAATTTATTTCTGATTTCAAGGAAATGCAATTGATGCTGTTCTAGTTCATTCTTAACTAAATCATCTAAATGTTTCAGTTGAGAGTTTTGTTTACCAAGAAGCTTCAGACTCTCTACATTATTTCTTTTATAATGGCTTTAGTTTTCTCCCCACAGGCAAAAACAAGAGAATGCTTAGAATTATAAAATGTGGTTTCCTTCTATCTTTCCTTTTTTATAGAGGTAAGATACTCATGAGTTTTATAACTGAGCAGTACCAT